CTTTGACAGCGGTTTACTGATTGTGTAGGACATATTGGGGCATTTATGAAGGGTAGATTATCATGAAAAACGTAAAGGCGGGCATCGCAAAAATGTAAATGAATAATCGTAAGCGTAATACAATAAGACATTAAATCACTAAGGCACCAGAATGACCTAATCACCGGGTACCCGTCAGTTGTGTGGAAGGGTAAGCAAATATCACATTGAGCGACGGTACGTGAAGGAACGTAAGGATAAGGGGAATTGCCACTGAAAATGTGGCCAACTAAGCCGGGCGCATTGCATGGTCCTAAAACTCGCCCACACCCAGTCCAAGCACAGGGTAGTGGGGTGCCAGGCCAGTGGTGGTGCGGTGGTAATTACGGAGCGTGCTGACCTCCTGGATTAGCTGCTCCATGTAATCCACGGCGCGTGACAGAATAATCGGGCGGGCCAATTCTCGGCCATCCTCGGTTTCTAGGATGCCTGGTGGCACAATCCGTTTGAGGCGCTCGAAGGCCTCCTTCATGGCATCGCGGCGCTTCTGCTCGGCGACCTTGTGCTTGAGGTTACGGAGGACAGAGTGGTCGTCGCCGGCGGCGCCAGAATCTAGTTCATCCCGGGTCATCACGAGTGGCTCGTCGTCATCGTCAACCATAGAGGCCACGGCGGTGCGGGAGACCTTAGACTGACTGGCGCCGACTGCTGTGGTCGCACCGCCCGCCCATTGGCTCTCCAGCTTTTCGAGACTCTGGTCGATCTGGGCGAGGGCGCGGTCGGTAGTGGAGGCCGGGGAATTCACGGCCTCCTCATTGCAGTGGACCGTCTTGGCCCGTTTCGACGCCGGGGTCTGGGTGTCGGTGGCCGGCCCGGTCGAGACATTCTCCACACCGCTGGTCGGTCCGGTCGATCGGACGACTGTCGATGGTCCGACTTGATTGACGCTGCTCTTGGCGGTCAGGGTCGAGAGTGGGATGGTATTGCGCCACCAGTGCGGGTTTCCCTGGGAGGCGGTGGATATGCGGGGTGCCGCAGTTGTGGGCGACGGGATGCGGGTCAGATCCAGGCCGAGGCTTTTACGTTTGCGTTTGAGCGTGGCAGCACTGGTAGGACTGACGGGATCCGACAGTGGAGCGCTCGTGAGACGGGAGAAGCGCTGTGCGCTGTTGGCCTGCCCTGCTAGTACCTCCGGACCCTGGGTAAGGTCGGGCTTGCGGGCGCGTTTACGGCGCGGGGTGGAGTGGCAAACCGCAACCTTACGAGCCGGTACGGCGCTCAGGAGCAAGGAGGTGGACGGCATGGCCCCGCTAACGTCGCTGGCACCGTGATACGACACGACCCGCGGGCGCACAGGGGTCACGTTACCGTGGCCGGAGCCCTGCGCGTTCATCTGCAGGGCGAGGCCTGCCCAGTACGCCTCGCCGTCACTAACCGTGCGACGGGCAGTCTTGCCCAAGGTGGTATCTGACGGGTTGATCCCCAGTTTGGGACCCAGGGGTGCGGGCCCGCCTTGGTTGGCCTTGCCGAGACCTGGGTGCGTGGGGTAGAAAGTGGTCGGGTAGAGCGATGTGGGCGTACCGGCCGCAACAGACCCAGTACCTTTGGTTGGAGTGAGGAAATCGAGGTCGAGGTTACTGAGGGGCACGCCGTAGGTATCGGTGGCCGGCGAACTGTACAGGGCAGTCGGATCGTAAGTTACCGGGTCCGCGCCGCCGGCCGCCATGCTGTGCAGGGCGTTCGGGTTGAGCGTACCAGCAGACGACGAATGCCCCTGCTGCAGAAAGGGGAAGGCACCCCAGGGACCGAGCTTACTGGGGAGCCCGGCTGTATAAGCAGTGTTGGCGGCCTGAAACGACTGTGGCGTCATGTGGGCACCGGTCATCATATTAATAAAGCCGGGGGATGCGTGGAACGGCGAAATGGGCGATACCAGACCGGCAGCAAGAAAGGCTGGGTTATTGGCCATACTGGCGAAGGTTTCGGCGGAAAAATGGGTCATATTAGGATGAACAGCCAGACCGGGGACGACTGCCGGGGTGGTAACACCTGTGGCCGGCTCGGCGGTGGAGGCCACTAGACCTAGAGCGGAGGCCCGGGTGCAAGGTGCACTGGTGAAATGGCCCTGGCCGACGCCGTGGCCGGGGGTTACTGGCGTCTGGGGAAGCTGTGCGCTAGCTTGCCTGGTAAGGCAGTCGGTACCGCTTACAGCGGAATTGCTGGCAGCAGTAGCAGTCATCGTGGGTAAAACGTACAAATATTATCAAAAGAAGGTGGGAATAAATTAGGCAGAGACCAGGACATACAATAATATGCCTGATTTTACGATGTAACCCCCAAATGATGGAATAAAGCTGTAAGCGAGAAGCCACGAAAAGGAGCAAGACGATTGTCAAGATACGGTGGGCAAGGGGGGGGGTTCATACATTAAGCCAGCTTGGCAGGTCAACAAAGGCTACCAGGGCAGGGAATGATTAAATGGTCATTAAAAATATATGGTGGGACATTAATTGCGATATAGGTATCTACATGAGAGAGAATTGAAACGGTAACAGGGAATAACTTTAGGGATGCAGAAAGGCCAGGTCATGAAACTAACCGCAATCACCGACGGACGGGTTGAGTTGGAGATCTTATACCCCATATGCAATACCAGCTACCCATAACGGAGCAGACGCGAACCGGGCGGAGGGAGCAGTGTAACTGTATTTTGGATTCCGCCCGCCCCTGAGACCCTTGGACCCTGGCCGTCATCGGATTTATAATTTCAGACGAGGCGCTGCTTCCTCATTGGCCAGTGTGAGGTACTCGCTTGTAAAATGCCAGCTTGAGCCACTAAACATCGGGTCGGTCAGTGGCGGTGGGAACAGGGTCCCATTTCACAGTACGGCTATAGCGCGAACCGAGACCCGTGAATGGTCCTGTCAACCGCCCTGGTAGAGTACATATCATACAAACCTTAGCACCGCCAAAGTTAGTCGTTCAGTTAGATGCACATTAAATGCTGAATAAGCCCATGCAATGGTGGTGATCTCAAGTCCAGATCTGCCGTCTCTTGGCGGTGGAGATTCATGCATAACCGCTAGTGTCTCGCGGTCAACCAAGAAAATACATTTACCCACTACAGCCAACAATGCAAGTTTCGATAAAGTGGACATGCCTGCAGCTATCTATTCCTAGAGGACATGGGAGTGCCACTGCTTGGGTGGAACCGAAGGTAGTTTGGAAGCTCGCCTCAATTGTTACACCATCCACACTAATGGGAATGACAAAGGAAACCCCTGGCCTTAATGGCTCTGAATGGGTATGTCGCTGGCCGATGGCAGTGCACTCCGAATGGTGACGACCGTTGGTCGGCTGGGCGACGCGTCTGGCGTACAATAGACCCTGACTTATTCACTCGGTAGGGGCGCTTAATTACTGAGATCGGCTTATGCGCGCCACTTGGATTTTACTGGGGCAGTACACCCATTATAGGGCCATACACCCTAGCGCTTCGTACCTAATCTGGCTTGGGCATACCATACCTAGTATATATGCGCGGATCTAGTCGGTCGGGTATCAACCCAACGTCACTGTAGGGCCATGCTTGTACAGCCAGGTCCCTTAGGGGTAGCCGTTGGGATTTAATATAGATGCTGTAACCGCATGACCGCTGAACTGGCTTACCTCTATATTTTGTAAACGGTGCCGGGTCGAGTAGACTACGACGTTGTACATGATAAGGCCGGATGTCGGTAACGCTCATAATCTATGCTAGTTTTCCAAACATCATGACAAAGTGGCCAGGCGACCAGTCCTATTAGCTTCCTTGTAGTAGACAGTGTGGTGCCGTCACCATACAATTAGCCTGCATAATAAACACAGGATGTCGGCGAGCGAGGGGCAGGTTGGACTGCATTAGTACCTTGACACCGCTTGTTGTACGGCGTAGGGGCCGGCCCAGAAACTATCCTACCTTATAGTATTCATCACACCCATTGATCAACTGGTGAACCACGCGAACCTAGTGCGCACTGGGGGGGGGGTATGCCACCTTTGGGTCTCCTTTCGTAGGCTCGCGTCCCTGAGTGTGTCGCTGACTGTGCGTTCGGTATGGAAGTATTCGTTATGAAACTGAACCGACTACCGCCGTACGTCCCAATATCATGCAAGAAAGAGGTAATATCAAAATATGCAGCCCACCGCTACACCTAAGGACAGTTCGTGAGTATGCGGCCCTAACCCGATCGCATTCCCAAAAACCCGAGGTTGAATTTCGATTTGCAATCAATCTTATAAGAAACAGTTGAGCGCCTCAATTAAATGGCAAATGATGGCTATTTCATTTATAGGGCAGCATACGTTTCGCCACTATCGAGAGTGTTTCGACGGCGAGTCGATTGGCCAACCACCGTCATTCCTAGAGAGCTCGGATACAGCCAATGCGGGCAAAGCCGCAGCCAGAGTAGATAGGGATCGTCATGGCTGGCCCATTCCGCTTGCACTTATAGACCAAAGGGAAACAAATAATCAGGCCCTACGCCGAACTGGATCTCTAGTGGAGTTGAAACCAAGGGATACCTGTGGAAACTGGTAGGATTTCCAGAAGAGTAGACTAAGGACTCGCCCTCCCCCCTCGTGGAACTGGGTCTTCAGTAGCTGGCTAAAAGGAAGTCCTCGAAAGGAGACAGATGTAGCTTAACTACGCCTATCGGCCGCCGCTCTTCCACATGTGAGATGAAGTACGTCCCTTTGCACCTGATGCAGTAGGAGCTCCCTTGCACCTCGTCTAGCGGGATAGCTCCTCCTTACTAGGTTATAGCGGACCTTCCCTTCCCCCTCTTCTTGGGCTACCCGCCTGCCTACTCACCTCTGCATCACCCCGGAGATTGGAGTTGGCCTCCCGCGGCAGCTGTACACTTGCCCCTTGACCGACCGAGAGTCAAATACCTCACGTACTTCACTTCACCTAACCACATAGCGAGGTGAGGACGGCAATTGTGAGCTTATGCTGGGGCTGGTGCAAAAAAAGGATGGCACGTCAGCTGCGGGATTCGAACCCGCGAGGGGTGGATCCCCGTTGGATAACCTGTGCGTGGGGGTTGTCCACGCACATTTAAGCCCAATGCCTTAACCGCTCGGCCAAGCTGACTGCCCGTTTAGAGAGGGGGCACTTCAGCTGTAGTGCGTGGACGGTTCAGAGGTAGTCTACGGCATTAAACTCTGACTGTCAGACGTGGGCTGGTAGGCAAGCAATTGGGGAGAAGTCGGGGGAGGCATGCGGCTGATGGCGGCGGACCTGGTTTATCTAGCAGCCAACCACCAGAGGTTCGGTGTGGTCGAGGAGTGTGTTTACGACATCACACCGGGTGGGGTGAGTGACTACCGCGAAATGAATGCCCGTTATCAGGGGTGATATCGACGCTTTGTGCAAGACAATGTGGCCAGCCCGCCCAGTATCAGTCCCTCGGTACTCGGAATAGGGACAGCTAGGTGGCTGGGGCAAAGTAATTCTTAACGTGAAAGCGAGGGGGGGGTCAGTTGTTGCACTTGTTCACTAATGATGATTGAACCAAACCTCCAAATTCAAACGATTTACCTGGCATCATCGAGTGCCCTTACCTCCCAATCTCTTACTCTATAGAGACAAGCCTGGGGGTGCGCGACATACTGCTACTGGACGGTACGACTGAGACGGGAATCTAAACTATTGACTAAAGAAATTGTGGTCTTGGTACCCTGCGCCGCAGATTATGCCGTTTACGGCTCGAGAAGGATGACAACTTAAGGTTCTATTTCATCCCCCCGATGGGTAGGGCACGTTGGCTGGGCTCGTACCTTGTTGGCGGGTCCCAGGTTAGAAGTATACAGATCCTATTCGGTAGGCGCAAGCTATCACTTGTAAACGTTGAGGACATTGGCTTGGCACGGTCTCGTACTTAGCAAGTATACGTGCGCGAGCTGCGATACTGCGGATTTCACTTGAGAAAGAAGCAGCCGATCCCCTATTGTAGCCCCGACGCTAGTAACATGGGGGTAAATGAGTATGACAATATCAACATGTGGGAGGTTGGATTACCCATGACGGAAGCACCGGGTGGCGACGTGGTCTCTATTCAGAGCAGCGTTGCCGTTTGCGAGGGGGGAAATATGAAGACTTCGTCTCACCTGCCGGATCGAGACAGGGGGAATGGTGTTTATGGTGCGGAAGGGGCGAGGTCGGCTGGTAAATCGCGCAATGAAGCTCCTTCTGAAACTCGGATGTTATGGCCATCGTGGCGCACCCGGTAAGGAACTGCCTCCAAACAATACCTTACTGCTTAGAGCGCGGCGTCAGAAATGGACAAGGGGGAAACCGGTAGCCTTGTCATCGAATGGTACGGGAGGTGAGTGATTGCGGTTCGATGTGAGTGGTGGCTGCATGGCTATTACCTGCAGCCATAGCGCCAATGTGGACGGCCTACTCCTGAACAACCATAAGCTACCTCGTCGGTCGAGTGCGACGGTTGCTAGCAGGTGGGGTAGAGATGCCAGAAATGGGAACAGCATTACTAAGGAGTCACTCTTACTGGGGCCACAATAGGTTCTGGCTCGTCACGCTCACGGGAATGTACTCTGGGGAGCGTATACGTATATAAACCCAACTGGCTGCTTGGCACTAATATGCAACAAGACTCCATCGCATTGGCATTTGCTACTTCATTCATCATCCACCGTAACCTCTAACCTGCACTTCACGACTTCATTGAGTTCCACGTTACTCCTTAATACGCCTTTTATCTTCCTTTTCGTATCCCTCACCCTCCCCTTTTTATCCATAATGAAGGTCAGCATCGCTTTTGCCGCCGCCCTCGCCTCGATCATGACTTCAGGTGTCCTAGCCTCCCCGTCACCCCTTCAACTGAGCGTCCGCGCCTATACCGCCAGTCCTGCTCCTGACCACGGCCATGGTGGTCCAGACTATCAGGTTACCGGCCCCGGGCATGATCGTAAGGATTCTCAGCACGGCGGTAGCTATGGTGCCGGCCACCATGTCGGCTACGATCAGGCGGACGATTATGACACCCGTCACGCTGGTCGTGTCAGCGGCTACTTTGCTAGCGGCCCCCGGCAGGGTGAAACGTGGGGCAACTACGTTCCGGAGTCTCCTGGTCATCAGGCTCCTCATCACAACGAGCATGGTTCCGGTTACAATGGTAACGGTGGTGAGCACGGCCCCAGACGTCAGGGCGACAGCTATCAAGCTCACAAAGCTGAACACGGGCATGAAGGCCCTGGGCATGGCGGCGCCCCTGGTCATGAGACCCCCGAACATGGTCACTACGGTACCTACTAAGTCAACCTGCCTCACCATCATCGCAAGCCCCGATTTTGTATCCTTACGCCCTCTCATTTATTTTGGATCATGTCTAACGGTTGGCGAGCCTGTAGCCGCTAGATAATGAATGCCACCCTGAATAACCGTTCGTATCTATACCACACACAGCTAAAACCTTATCTTGTGGAATGATAGAGGTAACCGGTCAAAAACGTAACGAACGAATAACGCTTACTGAAATGAACACGGAACTAGGAAGTGAAGTGAGTCCTGGCTGTCGGGGGATAAGCTATCGTTTATAGAATAGCGACTGTGGGGATCTTTTATACTGGACGGTAGTCTGCATCACACTAACTGGATCAAAAGTCGGGTAAAGAGAATTCGAAAAGTCAGCTGTTAGGCCGTCGAGTCAGTAAAGAGGGGAGAGGTGAAGGAAGGCAGGCCCTAAAAGAGTGGAGGTGGGAAGGCCCACTGTTAAAAGGAGCGACGTTCTACAGCCCAGACAGACTGGCGGCGCTGGAATAGGATAGCGGGTATCAGGAAATACAAGTAGTAAAGAAATAGTCCCCATCTTGATGCGATGCCTTGTCTAATGGAATTAACCAAGGCGATAGAATGTACCGATTATGATGATCACCCGATTCCACGGCTAGGTTAGGTAACCTCGGAAAAGGCAATGCTATAGGGTGTGATAGGTAGGTGAGCACCTGATGAGCCACAGATGACAATCCAATGGTTTGATAGTTGGAGGCAGAATTGGTTGGAATGCGATAACTCCTGTGCCGCTGGATCGCTACCAAACAGCCCCCGCCATTATCCAGGTATCGAATTTAAGCATTTTTATGTGCGCAAGGGTACGGTGCAGATGTGGAGTAGAATTACAGATAGCGTGGAAAATTAGCGTTCATGGGCCATGGGTCAGAAAGACAATGTGAAAGGTACTGGGGCCATTGGGTTTGGCGGAGCGCAAATAGGGGCATGGTGAGGCAGAAAGATGGAACCTGATGTTTCAAGGTTGGATTGTATAACGAGGGTCAGCGATGGTCGCGGTCAACAGCGGGAGGCGCTACGCGGCCGACCGTACGGATGGTGCCGCCGTCCGGTGACACGGTCTCGCCGGGGTGAGGGAACGGCCGAATGCGGGAGGCGGGTGACCCGTGGGGAGCCCGGGGAAAGTAATTCCGACCCGGTGCTACTTCCAGTCAGGGTGGGTGTAAGGTGCGGTAGGATATCGAGGCTGGGGGCAGGCGACAAACAGTTAACGGGGGATGACGGGATGACGTATAGTTCCCGGCCTACCTCAGTCGGATCGTTGGGCGCGACCGAGTCATTGGGGTGGACGGATGGGTCGGCCCCAGCTAAACATTGGCCATACAGGCCGCGCAGGTGGTCGGCCTCTGATCGGATCCAGACGTGGTCGAGCGCGTCGTGCACGGTGTACCGTTGGGCCGGGTCGACTACCAAGAGGCACCGGACCATGGATCGGGCCTCATCGCTGATGTCGCTCCAGTAGCGGTTCGGGAAGGTGATTTTGCCGGCGCGGATCTCGCGGAAGAGCACCGTGTTACCATTCTCCTCGTCGCTCGAGAATGGTAGAGTCCCCGAGAGCATGGCGTAGAGCAAGACGCCTAGCGACCAGCAGTCGACCATCTTATTGTATCCTCGACGGGGGGCGGCGGGTGGTTGGGAGCCCTCGGCCGCGGCCTCCGGGTCGTCAGTAGTAATGACCTCCGGCGCAATATACTGGAAGGTCCCACACATGGTCTGCATGAACGATTTCTTGCCCACGATCCGGGCCATACCGAAATCAGTAAGCATAACCTGCGCGTACGGGACGGCCTGGACCAATAGTACGTTCTCCGGTTTGACATCCCGATGCGAGATGTTGCGTTCATGCAGGTACTTGAGGGCCATGAGCACTTGATAACAGATGAATCGGGCCTCGGCCTCGGGCAGCCGCTCCCGGGTCATAATGTATTCGAACAGGTCGCCACCCTGTAGCATGGGCATAAACACGTATAGATACCGCGGGGTCCGGATTACATCGGTCACCTGGACAATGTTGGGGTGGTTGATGGACTGCATGATACTGATTTCTTGGACAAAGTCGGTCCCGCGCTGCTTAGTAGACAGCGAACCGAAACGCTGCAGGTCGATGACTTTGGCGGCCAGGCGGCGTCCCGTGCTTTTACACACCGCCAGCTTGACCTGGGCAAAAGTCCCCGTCCCGAGGATGCGGTTGGTGATTTGGTACTTGGCATCTAGAGAGGCTTCCTCGGTCGCAGCCTGGTCCGGTGTCTGGTAGGTCTGAAGGTAGGTGAAATCTGGTCATGTGGCGGAGAGGGTAGGTGAGAAGTGGGGTTGGAGTAACGTTCGTTTCCTCGGGTTAAAAGATGCGGTGGGGGGAATAAATGCTCGGGGTGACGCACCTGAATCAGGGCGGCAAGGTTGGCCGTTCAACGATGCTAAGCCAATGCTAGCATGCACCCAACTTACAGTTTCCCTTACGGATTTCCAAGGTGTCCCCGTGGCTGAGCAGGGATGTCTTGTTCTTGCCAATCTTGGTCCGGTTGAGAAAGGTCCCGTTGGAACTTGTGTCCTCGCAGGAGACGCTAAAGCCCAGTGGGTCAGTAGTGAGCGGAGCCACGACGATTCTGCAGTGGTGGTTGGAACAAAAGTTACCATCCACGACGACATCGCACGACCGGTGCCGACCAACCACTAGGGTCTGGCCCACTGCGAGCGGATATTCTGAGTTTGATACGGTGCAGAGAGGGCATCGTAATAGATGGATAGTCAGTACGTTGCGAGAGGCCCAGACAAGCAGCAACTAT